CCAAAGGCTGAATGTGTGTCCCATTTAGATGCCCAGCAAAACCGCAGAGGGTAAGAAAAACCTAGAAGGCCAAACAAGACACGTAGCCCAGGAGAAAGCTCTGCTCTGAGGATGGCCCCCTGGCTTCACAGATACCAAGATGGCCTTTATGGTTGCTGGCCACCCCCTCAAGTTTTCCCTTTGTAACTGTCACTGCTAGAGTTTGATGTGCAGAGACCAGGGGTTAAGAGCTCAAGTTGTGGAGTCAGAAAAGCCTGGGTTCAAACCCCAGCTTCACCACTCAGTAGCTGTATAACTTTGGGCAAGTTCGATTACCTCTCTGAGCTTTCTTTCCTCATCTAAGAGAATAGTAATACTACCTACCTTACAGAACTTTGGTGAAGGTTAAATGAGATAATATCTAGAAAGTGGTTAGCACCCAACCTGGGGACACAGCCACCTATTAATAATTGGTAGAAACTGTTGAAGAGTCAATAAATCAACATTTACTATAACCTATTAGACCAGCCCATGTACTGCAGAAGTCTTCTGACGATCACAGTCAAGGAGATGATGGTTACTAGGTAACCACCCAAACTTCTGAGGCCACATTCTCCCCCCTTTTTTGTGGGATGTTTGTGTTGATCCCAGATGAAATGCAGTGGGGAAGGCTGGTTTGTCCTGTGCCCTTGTGGTCAGCTAGGGCCTGCTTCTCACACCCTGGAAGCCCTGGTAAGGCATATCCCCAGCCTGTGAGGGATAGCCTGCACCATTCCTGGGCCGAACCCTGTGAATACACAACCCTGATGCCCACCAAGTCGGGCATCAACTTTTTATGCAAAGGACCATTGTCACACACAGCAAGGAAAGCTTCGGTGCTGGGATCAGACTGCCTGGGTCAGATCGTAGCTCTGCCATTTCCTACCAGCTCTGTGCTCTTGGACAAAGAACGCTCATCTCACTGAGCCTCAGTTTGGGTTCCCTTAAAATGGGTTTAATGATACTTCAATCCTCATAGGGTTGTTGAGAGGATTAAATAAGGCCATTCTTGTTAGGTGCTTCTTAATGTATATTGTAAAAATCATTTACATTATTGTCTTTGTCATTATGTGTGCCACTGGGTGAGCAGTTCAGAACTGGGAATTTCATTAGCAAAGAAATAACTTAGAATTCTACTGAAACATTATTTTGGTTTGAAAAGCAGTCTGTGTTTGTTTTACCTGTGCAGTTCTGAAGTTGTCTCCTGTAAGGGGACCAGCTCCCTGAATGAAACTAGTATTAAAATCTACGGGTGATACTAAATATATTTATGATGATGGCATAAGCACTAACCAGTTGGAGTGGATGCCAGCTGTAAACAACTGTGCATCCACTCTGCTGTGCAGCAACTCAGTTTCAGCCCTGATCCGAGCTGGCTGGACCCTATGCCAAGCCCTTCACATGTGTTAGCTTATTGAATCCTCACAACAACCCTAGGAAGGTCATATCGTTATTATACCCGTATCACAGGGAGGCTGTGGGGCTCAGACCAAAACCCTACACAGTTGGAACTAACAGAACCAGGACCTGAACCCAGGTCTGCCCGACTGCAAAGCCCACACCCTGACTCGCCATGTTTCATAGGCCCCTTCAGGGACGTAAGACCACTTGAGAGGAAAACTAGCCTAAGAGGTTGGCTGCAATCTCTTGCTCTTTCTTCTCAGTTTTTGTCCCCTCCTGGGGTGTTTCTCAATTTACTAGGATATTTTGCAGCTTCTTGGTGAAATAAATAGTAACAGTCTAATGTAGAAATGGCAAAAAAGTCAGAAATAGGTTTCCTCTCCTAGCGAACTCTGATCCATTCGTAGGGGCTGCCCCAGTTCTGTGTTAATGTCTGTTCTGAGGCTGCATCCAAGCTTATCAGAAAGGGAGTAGTGATTGATTAGTGATGTCTGCCTTGGGTGCAGTTTTGGTGAGTGATGTCATTTATTTAGTATCCTTAGCTCGTGCAATCTAGTTTTCCAAATGTCACATCCTTACAGGAACAGTGAAATCACACATAAGGAGTCAGAAGAGTTCTAACTTCACAGTTCTTCAGTCCATCAATTAAACAAGCTTGATTTACAAAGTTTTCTCCCAAATGTGTTCCCAGAAATGTGCACATCTGTGTTCTGATTTCTCACCAGACTGTAAACTTCAATAGGGAAACAATCTATGTCTGTTTTATTCACTGCTATATCCCAAGTACCTAAAGGATTGCCTGACAGGGAGAAGGTGTTACTGGACAAAAGTTTGTGTGCCCGACTCACAGTGAGGCCAAACAAACTGAAATGTTGAGTTTGGAGCAGAGAAAGGTTTATTGCAGGGCCGAGCAAGAATACGTGACTCAAGCTCAAAAAACCCGAACTCCCTGATGGTTTTCAGGGAGGAGTTTTTATAGACAAAATTTGGAGTGAGGGCTGCAGGGTGTGTGACTTTCTTCTGATTGGTTGGTGGGGAGGTAATAGGGTGATGCTCCAGGAAACTTGTGCTAAGCCTGAAGTTGCCAGGGTGTGGGGGCCTTAGTTCCTGCAGAAAAACCCAAAGACACTGTTGTGTATATTCCTTCAGGAGGAACCAGGACCCTGCTCCAAGGCTGCACCATTGTTTCTTGACTGTTCCTCCCTTGTCTCTGCACTCCCCTCCTTCCCCGATTAGCAACTGTTGAGTCTGCCCTTTGGAACTCAGGGACAGTCAAGGAGGCTGAATGAAGCCTATTTCCTACCAACAAGAAATGGGGGACACAGAAAGGATTTGTAACCAGGGAGGACCCCACAGGATCCTGCTCCGTTTCAAAGGCATTTAATAAATAATTGTTGGTTGAATACTCAGAGCAGGTGTGTCACTGGCCTGACCCCGGCTCCTTGGTCCAGCTCCTTGGTCCAGAAGTCCCCCTTCAGGAACTCCCTCCATGGAAAATAGCGCATGGAGAAAGATTTGCACAAAGGAATTTCTAAACCCGAAATGATTTCATTCTGTGTGTTTCAAAGACCCGTCTGATGGTGCTCATCAGGCAATTACGAAAGAACAAATGGTGTTTCTCTTCCCACAGTTTATTTACAAAAGACGTGGTAGTGAAGCCATATTGAAAGTCTCTCATGGGGAGGGGGACGATGCTGGCTCCAGTTTACATTTGGTCCAGTTATCTCCTTCACTCTTGAGTGGAAATGAGACAGTAAAGAGGAGTCCCCCAGGTCAGGCAGGGAGACCTTTCTCCCTCAGCTTTCCCCCTCCAGGCTTTGAGAGCACGAGCTCCCGGAGCCGGAGCCTCCTCTGCCAGTGCATTGCCTCCCAGGCCCCCCGGAAGGCCTGCCCACGGCGCTGAGGGCACAGGCGAGCCCATGTGTCTGCCGGCGATGCTCCCTGAGATGCCCGGTGTTCTGTTTCAGCCAGAGCAGAGCATTTACAAAGGACCAAATTCCCTCTGATTAATCTCCGCTGAGATCCCTTTTCTTCTTGGTGACAGAGACGAGAGACTGTTCTGAAAGGCATGAGTGTATTTTCAGAAATTAAGATAAATTGATACATGCCATCAGGGCTGATGGATTAACAATTTGGCTCCAATTTCAGACCAGGACATCTATCCTGATGGGAAAACCCCAGAAAAGATGTTCCAAAGGCTCTGAAATTTCTAGAAGAATCATTGACTCTCTCTCAGTCTCTCTCTCTCTCACAGCCAACAGAGCTTTTGTTTCCAAAAGGCACAGTCACATTATGAGAGCTCTCCTGCTTGGCAGTTAGATGCTTCCCAGTTCTGGTGGTTGGATAAATCTTTAACTCTGTAGTCCGGCCTACACCCACCTCCATAAACTGCTCATCACCCCTTGCTTTCCCCCGACCCTCCCCGTTGTCCTCTTCCCCATTGCATTAACTGGGACTCTTGGCTACGGGCGACCAAAATCTCAGTCAATCTGATTTAAGCAAAGAAATCAGAATTGTGGGCCACACAACTTTCAGGCCTGGAGCCAGGGACTAACCCAGCTCATTCAGGCTCTGTCTCTCTCAGTCCCTCAGCTCTGTTTTGTTTGGGGTTGGCTTCCCTCTCAGACAAGCAGCTCAGTGGAAAGAGAGCTTCTATTTCCCACCCTTCCTGCAGAAGTTCCCAAGTTGAGTCTCCTTGGCCTGCTGGTCCCTTACACACCCCTGAGCACTGTTCTGATTGGTCAGCTGAACTCACATGCCCATCCTAGAGCCAGGAAGGCGGGATGGTTCCTATAGGTCCACCTTAGGGATGGAACCTCCTGGTTCCCCAAAGGAAAGTCCAGGCACTGTGCCCAGAAAGAGGAATGGAGGTGGGTTAGAGCAAATCACCGATATCTGCCTCACCCAGCCATATAGAACTGCTCACAAGCCCCAGGCTTATGTGCCTGGCCATCTTCGTAGACATGTTCATTCTTCCTGAAATGTCCTTCCATAGTCTGGCCAACCCACATTCATCCTTTTGGGTTCAACTCATATCAATAGATGGCTTCCTCTTGGCCTTACCTGAGCTCCCTGTACTGATTAGGAGCCACCCCAACACCACGCCCAGCATGGCTCCAAATGCGTCACCCAAAGGTTGACCTGTATCCCCCACTGGACTCTGAGCTCCCTGGAGGCAGGGAGTGGGTCTTGTCCATCTGTGTATCCCTGTTTTGGCCCATGATAGGCGTTTTAAATGACTCCATCAATTCCTATGTGATACAGCTGCCTTCATCCTGCCTTTCTCAGACTTACATCTCCATCTTTGGGTAATGGTGGTGTAGCGGATAGGGTACGTGGTGAGAAGGAAGGGCACTGGCTTCTCATCTCTGCTCTCTGTCCATCTGGAGACCCTGGACCAATCACTTGACCTCTCTGGCCCTCCCATCCCAGATGGTGCTAATACAACTTTCCTTCCTGCCTGAGATCAAATAAGATGCTGTGGAGAAAGCCCTTGGACT